AGGAGAGGCATGGAGTTTTCTAATGAAATCTGGATTATTTCTGACTGCTCAAGCCCACACAAGGACCCTCACTCATCTCCTCTTTGAGGTATTTGACCACTCACCATCACTGTGCACAGTATCCCCTCCATCTAAGCAAGGACAAGTAAGTGTAGGAAAAATATGTCACCTTAATCAAGGCTTGAATGTCATTGTTGGGAAAATTTTAAGAGGCCAAACAGGATGGGGAAGAGAAATACTTGCCTTTTTTCCTTCTGTCTGCATGCAGAGTAAACAAAAACTTTGATTTTTATGTCAGAGGTATTGAAAGGGCCACAACCAATTACTCATTTTCTGATCTTTTTTTTCTCTTTGTAGGAGAGAGGCTGAAATGCATCTGCAGAAACTTTGAAAAGTTTTAAAAATAAAAGCTCACTCTGCAGAATTGGTGTCAAGGATTGAGACAAAAGTGAGAAAAACTAAAATTTTAAGACAAACCATATAGATCAGACCTCAAAGATATGAGGACGGAAGACTGGGAGAAAAGCTGGCAACCCTGTGGTCTGTCCCCTACAGAAATTCTCTGCTCTGCAAAATCCACGTGTGGCAGGACACAGGTAAATGAACTGTTCATGGCACAGCCCATGTGCATCTGAGATTAATGTGCACCCCAGCTGAGACATGGGGCATCCAGGGGCACTTTGATGAAGGGATGGAAAGGACAGTGTTTCCTCTACCCTGGAGGCAGCCCAGCCCCCAGGCACTGTGGAGGCTCATGCCATTTTCCTGACAGTACAGCATTGATGTCAAGCTGAGGATCTTGCTCTGCCTTGGATGACACTGACCCCTCTGTGTCACCCCTCAGTGCTAACACTCATTTCAGAGCATGGCACACACCACGGGGAGTGAGAGCCCTCACCCCCTCACACCTGTGCTTCAAGGGAAGGAAATGGGGCAGAAAATACAGGAAAAGTGAAATTTCTCCACATGAGCACAGCTGGATTTACTGCGGAGGAAGGGAGAAGGTTGTGAGGAGACCCCAGCAGGTAGGATTCAGTTTTCTTGAAGTTTCTACATATTTAGCCATCCAAACACAGACAGCTGCTTCCTTCCTTTCTCAAGGACAAACTCGGCACTGTCACTCTCAAGTTGGGAATCTTGATCTTGCTGAAAGTGTGGATGGATGAAACTACCCAAGGCACCAACAAAACCATCACAATGAAGACTTGACACATGAAGCAGCACAGAGAACTAAAGAATAATCCCATTATGGTATTTTCTCAGGAACAAATGGCATTTTTCCCTCCAGTAACTTGACAGAAGTGGGGAGCTCAGCTGGTCCCTGCACTAGAAAACATGGGAAAGGATTTTAACAAGTCTTCAGTGCCACCCTGCTCCCACTGACAGCAGCAGGCGCTGAAGAATGTGAATGGAGCATCTTTACAAAAGCCAATGATGAACTCTTTTGGCAAAAATCCCCAGAATAAAGGTTCTGATGTATGTTTTCCTGGTATTTTGAATGGAGTGGAGATGCATTTGCTTAGATATCGATTCTGAAGTTTCCAAAAATCAAAGGGTGGTAACAATCTGGAGCTTCTGTGTAGCATAAAGGCAAAGATAAGCCATGCATACTGTGTGCTGAGAACAAACAGCAAACCAGGAGCCCCATGTACACATGGAATAAACCACAAAGTACTGAAGCAAGAGGACCAAGAGGCCTGGCAACAGGATGTCAGACTTTATGAAGTCTGTTTTAAGTACAGGCAGATACAGGCTGTTCACATTTTTCATGCAGGGATGTTTTAAGTGGGAAATCAGCCTTTTTTCACCCCCTCCTTGTCTTTACCCTTCAAACCTATCAAGATCACTGTTCTATTTTTCATGAAGTTTTCTGCTGTGCTATACTTGTGCTTGCACCTGAAATACACAATCCTCTGCTGGTATCTGGGTCAGCCACACTGAGAAGGGGAATCCCATTATTGTCTCTGGTGGTTTTTGAAGTGAATGACTCTGTACAGTCAGCTCAGGTTGGGATTCATGGGCTGATATTTCCATGACAAGCGGCTGCCACGTGTGTGCCAAAGCTCCAGGAGCCTTTCATGGCAGGCAGCACAGAGGCAGGGGGTGACATCCCCCAGGATATCTGAGAGCCCAGGGCACTGCCTCGCCATCATCACTGCTGCTGCTGCCTTTGAGCAGAGACAGAGCACTGAGAGTATTTATCATCATTGGTTTCACACAAAGGGAGACATTACACACCAAAAGATCTGCTTTGCAGGCTGGGAAACAAATAAACACCACTAACTGAGAAAGCTGCAAAAAAAGTCTTTCCCTTCCTCTGCCTCAGCTCTGGGTGAAGCCTAAAGCAAGCAAACACCAGTTCTGTCTCAAAACCAGAAATGGTGTTGTCAAAGTGTGTCCTTCATGTGTGCAACTCCTCAGTCACAAAGGAGCACCAGTTAGAAGGACACTGCTGCCTCACACCACAAAGACAGTCACTACTGAAGGAATTACATGGAAAAGAAATTTAGGAGCACATAAGAGCAGAGTTACAGAGCTGCTGTATGTATATGTATGTTCACAGCATGAACTCTGGCCAAATGCCTCAACCTGACTTAATACTGTCACTCAGGGCACAACTGTGGGTCTTCTTCTGCTACACATCAGTGCATTAACTGAACTATCAGCTGTTGTGTGGACAAGAGGAAAGTTCTAAACAATACTGAGATTCCAGAACTTTTGGTTCCTATCTTCATGAACTGCAAGTGCATCTTAAATCTACAGTTCTCAGCCAAGTTAGGAAATCTTCAGTGTCAAATACCCATTAAACACTAAAGGTACTGGTGCAAGTGCACATATTTAAAATTAGTCTAAATTAAATGTTTATACCGAACTAGTTTAGCAACATTAAATATTCTTAATTTTAAAGTGACTGCAACTCAGCTTTTCTCTATAAGTTAAGCTGTATCAAAACAAAGCATGTTAATTCTTACCAAAAATACATTAAACTAGTATCTTGCAATAGAGTTAAAAGCCAATTCTCAGTTGATAGTCAATGCCTCTTAGTTGCTATTAAAATTTTCTAGCACTGTTATGGAGTCCCATTTCAATTAGCTGCAACTGTGTCTCAGAGAGGCTAAGAAACAGGATGGTGAAGGCACAATTTCTTCAATCCTTCAGTCTTAACCCCATTTCCTCACCTATCTATATGTGTGGGCATGCAATCAACTGCAGGTGAGTAATCTCCTTCCAAATTCACACTTTCCACCTGCACAGAACCTCCTTCCTGGATGTGTCTCTGCAGATGCTTTGTGCTCAGCCCCATGAGAGTGCCAGGCTGCAGGCATCCTGTCCCTGGGACACACATTCTGGGAAGATGCTTGGGATGCAGGCAGCATCAAGGATCACCATGGCCCAAGGCTACATTGTAAGAATGAGCTTGGATTGGGAGCCACATTTTGACTCCTGGCCCCAGCCCTTTCCTGGCGCAGGACAGTTTAGTTGAAAAGTACATCCTTGGCACATGCACATATGTAGACCCCTGACACACCGGGAGAAAAGCAAGAATTTACAGTTTCTTGGAAAGAACCAACAGTGATTTTCTGTACTTCAAAACATGCCAGATTCCCATTTGGGGCTTGGTCCTTCACCATGTATTATTTCAGTGGGACATGAACCCAGCTCTGCACACATCCAGGGGCACACATCCAAAGGCCAAGACACAGATTCATATGAACTTTATAATGCTGAGAAAAGTAATGCAATTTAATACTTTTTAAGCTTATGGATTTATAGCTCCAGATCTGTAGGAAATAGAGGGTATTTCTGCAAGATAATAAACTCCTTTTCTTCCCCCCATTGTAAAACATTTTCATGTATTCACGTCAAAACACCCAGAGATATTTCTGGTGTTAAGAAGAGCTTTGGAACAAAGTTGCCCTCCTCCACCAGCAGGAAAAAGATTACCTACCTTTTTCCTCATTATTCTGGGCCACTATTATCAGCAAGATATTTTATTACAGAAAAAAAAAAAAAAAAAAAAGACCTTGATTTTATCCCCATTGTCCTGCAGCAGCACCCAACAGCCCTGATCAGCAAGTGATGAGTGCCCTTCCGGAGCAGGCAGAAAATATAAATTTAGCAAAGAGCACTTAGCAAATATAACTACAGGGTCTGTCCTCGCAGGATTATCTGATTTTCCCTTGCTACAGAAAAATCCACATGAAAATGAAATCCTCAATTTATTCTGCAGATGCATGGCAGGGAAAGGTGCATGGCTGGCAGGGTCTTGGCTACCACCATCACATAGTTATGATTCACATGGATGTCAGGATGTGCAGTCCCAGAGAAACTGCAGAATCGGGGGCAATTAGCCAGAATCCTGAGCCTGAAATCCTGATGGCTCCTGTCCAATGCTGCTCTTCCCTCTAAGCCAAGTGTTTTTCCCAGGTGTCCAGCCTGAGCCCCCCAAGCCACAACCTGGGCTGTGTCCCCTCATTCTTCTACCTACTGAGGAGCTCAGCTCCATCACCACATCCTACCCCCAGCAGCGGGTGCAATCAGATCCCTCCCTGAGCTCCTTGCCCGGCTGAACAAGCAATTTAATTTCTTTCCTTTGGTGTACTTTTCCCTCTCTCCCTTGCTCCAAACTGCCTTTGCCTAAAGCACTGTTCTTAAATTAATTATCAAGGAGCTTTATGCTGCAGAGGAGCAGCATTTTGGGTCTCCCCTGGGACTTGTGACTTTTTCTTCTGCAGCCCAGAAGCGTGAAAGCTCAGCCCCCGCCAGACCCATGACTCATGCTCTTCAGAGACACTCCCACAAGTTTTATACACAAATTTTATCCTTTTTTCCTTGCAGTTCTGCTGATAAATGTTTGCATTTGCAGCTCCCTCCCAGCCGTGCCTGCCTCCCAGGACAGCTGACATGCAAAACCCACATGCTGCTGGCATTGCTTTGTTCAGGTGACATTAAGGCAATTAAAGGCAGGCTGAGGGGCTGTGAGGGACCCAGTATGGTACCTTCATAGGAGCCAGCTGGATGGGAGTGATGCATGAGGGATCCACCATGGGCTTGGGCCGGTTGGCCGTGTCTGCCAGCAGGCTGTGCCACTGCTGGGGCAGCCCCGTGAACTTCTGCTCCCGGTGGTCGAAGCCAGTGTGGACCCGGTGCTCAAAGTTGGAGGGCCCAGAAATCTCCAGCCTTTTCTTCTTTTTCCCAAACATGGTGGAAAGATCTAGAGAAAAGATAAAAAGCTACATGTTTACACTCTGTTGTATCCCTCAGCCACTGTCTCGACTTCACATGGAACTTTAGTAGATGTCATTAACCAGCTACTCTGTGAACTTCACTGCACACACTGAGATCTGCGCAAGGCAAGCACTTATCTACCTCCTTTCTGAAAGAAGGAAGGTTAAGAAATTAACCCAGTCTCTTACTAGGTATGTCCATAAGGCCTTTTGAAACAAAGAAATTCCCAGGAAAGAAAGCCCCAGGTTCATTTTTGCACTCCTCTCTCTGCTCATGCTGTGAGTTGCACCCCATGGAAGCTCCAAGCTCAGAGCAATGCCAGCAGCAGTGGATGGCTTTGCTTCAAGGACACCACTTGGATAAGTGGTGAGCTGTGCCCTGATACAATGGGGAGCAAATGCAGGCACAGCTTTACATCCCAGCAAAGACAACCCATCCCAGACAAAAGCCTGGCTCTGCCATGTCAGGTCTAGGTCTCTCACAGCAGCACTCCAAGGGGAATTATTCCTGTGCCATTTCAGCAATGAAAACAGAGAGCTCAGATCTAATTCCAACCTGGGCCAAGGGCCTTCCTCTGCATTTGTGAAGGGTCCTGCTTAAAAAAAGCATCAGGTATCAGCTATTACAAATATCATGGCCTGACTTCTTGAGGAGAGAAAGGATTTGCCGTGAGAGCCACATGCCCAAAGCACCTGGGTTCAGGCTCAGATGGGCAGAGGTCCCTGGCTGCTGGCCAGCAGGCTTGGGCAGGATTCATCACATCATAGCCCTATGCCTTTGAAGGTCCAGGAAGGAGCATCAGCTCTTCTAGTTCCTGTGCAGGTGGTGTGGAGAAGAGACAGGAGTCCTTCCAATCCTATAGAAGCAAGGAGCTGGAGGAAATGTGACCTTCCCAGCTTCTCTGTCACTGGATCCACCTGGGTTGGCGTGCTAAAGCTAATTGCTACAGTCCCTGCTCTGCAGAAAGTGAACTTTTTAGTAAATTTTGATTGTTATTTCCTGATAAGACTGAGTTGATTTGCTTTCCTCCTGTCTGTTTAGTTCCTGAGGAGGCAGTAGGAGGTTTTCAGAGCACACAAGGGAACCTAGGATAATAGATTAGCTGGGGCAAGAGAAGTTTCATTGGAAGGAGGCACGAGCTACAAACTGAGAGGGATAAAGGTACTTGCTCATTCTACTGGCAAAGGAAATAGCCAATACTCTACCTGCATTAATATTTGGGTTGGTGGGTCCCACCTTAAAATGAAGTGCAGCCTAACAATTCTATTGAAGCAAGTTCAGAACTGACTTTCTGGAGGACTCCAGAAATCTGCTGTGCAAGGCAAAGATAAACTCCTGGTCCCAGGGAAACAGGCAGAGGTCCTGCTGCTTTTCAGTGACATCCTGTCCTGTCCTGGAAACATTCTCTGCCTACTTTCTGCCGTTTCACAATACTCCTCCACCCTGCTCTCTGGGCCATTTCAAGCAGGGCTAGCTAAGCACTTGAGCAGGATCTGAAATAGCAGCAGGGTGAGGAGGCTGCCAGTGCTCTTCTATCACAGCTGTAGAAGTGCTTCTCTAATTAAAGTCTGCTCCTGACTTTAATTTGGGAGGTGCAGAGGAGAAGCTCAGAGAAGAAAACACAGTTGTGCTGCTGCTGCAGCTAAGGAAAGATATGGTGATAAATGAGGCATTTATTCCACCCTCACTACCTTTTACTAGTTTATCTAAAGATCAAGTCCATTATTTGAATCAAGTCCCACCCCGTGTATTTGTAGGTGATTGTCTTTTTTGTGGGTATTTCTTTTAGACAGAACAGACTTGCTCCTGTTGGCCTCTCTTCACAGGTCTCATGTTCTGCACACCTCTCTGGCTTTCTACCGTACTCTGAACTTCCCAAAATCTCCTGCTCTTTTGACAGTTTCTCTCCAGCTCTGTTAATTTGCGTATCTTCCTCCCCTTCCTCTCCAAAAACCTCCTACAATACAATCACTTTGATATGTGTATTTTTTCCTTTCCTGGCATCATAATTGTTTTATTTTGCTTTGGTCTGTTGGGTACCTTGTGGCACTTGCAGACATGCTTCCAAAGCCATGGTGGCTGCTCTCTGTTCAGAGATTCTCCATGTTCCAGGCTCAAACAGAGGCAGTCCCAAGTCAGGCAGTGGTTCCACCAGTGGCATCCAGCTGCAGATCAATGGCACTGCATTGATTTCATTCGCCTCAGGGACAGGAATCCATGAGACTATTGGAGTAACATTTGAAACCATCAGCTCTAGACATTAATATTTTCCTCTGATCAATGCCAGGGTTTCCCACACGACTTGCATTCCAAGGCAGCTGCTGGATGCTTGAAGTCCTCCCGAGCTCCAAACAACATCAGGTAACTAAGAGCCCATCAGTTGGCACAGTGCACACCACTTTTTAAAATGAACAGCACATTCATTCAACAAAGTACCAGCCACCAAGTTACCTCCATTTCACTGCAAGTCCAAGCCAACCTCCCCTCAGCATAGTCCCTCCAAAAAGCTATGGCATACACAGCAGTCACAAGGAAGCTTCATTTCCCCTCATTTCTCCCAAAGAATGGAAATGATGCTGCCTGTTTTCCTCATCTGTCTGAGGATGAGGGTTTGGGGCAGCCAAGTTTGTGAAACCTTATGCTCTGGGCTTCTAAGTGTCCTGATTCAGTCCCCACTGATGTGCTTGGTCCTCATACCTCAAAAATGGAGTGATGATTCAGTTTTTCCCACAGCTCTATTGATATGACACAAAAAAGAAAGGACTTGTTTAATCAGGCGAGGAAGCAGAAAACATCCCTGGTAAATGAGTACATGTTCTTCAAGATATCTAAAGCCATTTTAGGAATAACCCAAGTGCTTTGAAGAGGACTGATGGAGCTTTCCAGGATGCTGGATAATGTTTGTGTAGCAGAAAACTTATGAAATTTGTATCAAGAGCACAAAAATGTATGAAATTCATTCAGGCACCTACCCATTCACAGGAAACAGCAATCCTCTCACAGTTATTAAGAACCCCTAATTTCCTAATGGGATTATTTGGGAAAACATCCCCCAGACAACAGGGCAGCCTTTATCAGAGGCACAGGGAGGAGGAAGGCTGCAGGACAGCTCTGCAGAGCTGCCTTTGAGCCATCCCCACGCCAGAGCACTCACCCTTTACTTAATTCTTCCTGACAGCTTCCAACGTGGCCCTGACTGTGCCAGGGCTCTCAGCAAATGCCACCTCTCTGTCCAGCTCCTCCTGTGCTCACCCCCACAGAAGGAGAGGAAATGAGAGGTATTGTAGTTGTAATCTGATGCTATTTTGGTGGGATGAGCACAACCAGGATGTCTGTCCTCTCCTTGCACGTGCCTTGCCAAGGGATAGTCTGGATGATTCCAGTGGCACATGGCACAAGGTGACACTTGACATAAGGGGGCTGGGGGAGCTACTACTCATGGCACTGGGCTTGGTTTTGTGGGGAAAACAGGACTCACCACTGCAGTGCTTCACTGGGGCATTTCTACAGATTCTTTACTTGCTCTTATGCTGAAATGATGCAGCACGTGAATTTTGTGCTTGTAAATGTGAGGTCTGGAGGAGGCAGCCCTCCAGTGAAAGCAAACAATGAACTCAGTAAGAAGGACAGCGCAACACCTAAAGCAAGTCTGCTCTGTAATGGGAGAGCCAGAAGCTGAGCCTGTTCAGCTCCAGGCAGCCATGCCAAGGGCTCCTCAACCCACAGCCTAGCCGTGGCACAAGTGTTACAGATAACAGAGTTTCTGAACCAAAGCCATGATGGAAAAATAGGGACATAACACTTACTAGAGGAAAATGCAGTACTGGGGGGAAAATCAGACTACTGCAGCACCTAATGAGGTACTCAGTACCTCTCCTGAGTAACCCACAGCAAGGCTGGTCCCAGATGTATCACAGGGAATGGGAAAGGAACAGGGACAACAGAAGAAATATGGGAATTGTGCTCTGAATATTGTTACCCAAACCCTTCTACAATTTCAGTTTTGTCTTAATCTTTATTTCTGCCCAGGAAAGGAGCAGTGCTAGAGCTCTGCTGGTGCCTGCTGAGGCTGAGTAACAGCTGAGTAACACATCTCCACTGGCTGCTGCAGGCACCAGGTAACACTCAGGAGCAATCACTGCTTTTGCCCTTAATGCTGTTTACTGTGGTGCCTAACAAATCAACTTACATGATAATCAGCACACCCTGCCTGCTAGGTCTATGGCAGACTTGGCTCCTTTGCACAGCACTCCTTTCTGTGCACAGAAATAGTTCACTGACATCACAGTGCCATGGGCTCCTAGGCAGGTCCAAATTTCACCCATGTCTTTCACAGACAGACCAGATGCCCACAGAGGAAATTTCCTGAGATGATGCCCATGCAAGGTGTGTGATGTACCCAGCAAATTAGAAATAAATCCACTCAGTCAGCTACTGCACTCTCATTGTGCTGCCTCCCAGTTCCAGATGAAGGGGTTTTTCCAGCAAGAAGCATCCTCCACTCCCACACACTGGAGCAAGAGGGTGGCAGTACTGTTCTGGGTGCCCATTCAGACTTTCCCATGGTAGGCTGTGCTCAGGACAGGATTTCCAGCAGGAGCTTTCCCACAAAAGGTTAAAGCCCTGCCAGCTCACACAGAGGTCACAGGTCTGTTCACTCTTAGAAGTTTGGTCCCATCCTGGGGTTTTTCCAGGAGTTGTCCCTCTCCTGTATGTGACATCAGAGGACACTCCAAGACTGATGAACTGAAAGTTGAAAGTCCAGACTTTCCAGAATGTTACTGCCCTCAAAGAACAAATTTTCACATTTACAGCAAGTTAGATCAAAGACAGTAGGAATAAAATGAAAAAAAAGGATTACTTCATTCTAAGGTTAATGGTATTTTGTATCTTTTATCATATCCTAAGAGTAATTCAGTTAATCTACAAAATAAGAGAGAACTCTTTAACTCTGCCCTGTTTTCTGTTCCCAATAAAAAAGTCAGAGCAAATTTTTGTTCCTCCTCCAAATAGCTGCTCTTTTAAAAAAGACTACAAAAGTTGGAAAGAACTTTCACATCTTGTAATCTTGAAAACTACCAGTCTTCCAAGTGCATCCCTTAAGCAGTGACAACAGCCCTTGCCATCCCAAATGGCCCCAGATAACCGAGTAAAGGTCTTTGAAATTCTGCCACACATAAAAACGCACAGTAACCGTACAAAGTCAGTACCTAGAATAATGAAGTGAGATGGGAATTTTTACTTTAAAATGGAACTTTTAATTACTCTGTGCTATAGCTATTTAAGCTTTATTTTTTACTGTGGTATTTTGGGAGCCAGATAAAGTGTCCTACTAACCCCAGAAAATCCTGTGTGCTCACCATGACCCTGAGCCACCCTGGCAAGCCTGCAAGGATTTCCTACACACACCTCACTGCTGCTCCAGCACAGGCTGGGCTGAAAATATTCCCTCAGGAGGGGCTCTGTGTTCACCGTCTGCCCCAGCCCAGCAACATGTTTGCTTTTAAACAACCAGCAATTAGTTCATCTTCTATTAGGAAGTATTATCTGTATTTTCTGCAGGGATTCCCTATGGTTCCTCAGCTAAGCAAGCAGCATCAGAGCTCTTTTTCCTTGTGGATGGGCATGTTATTAGCATATAAAAATTGCCTTAATGAATGCTGAGTATCATCTGTGAGCCCAAACGGGGGGCAGCAGCAAGGGCTGTGAAAAGGTCCTGTGAAAAGGCATATTTTCTCCCAAATGAGCCACACAGCCAAAAAACCCAGTTCCAGGCAGGAGCATTAATAAAATGCTTATTTTTTAAGAAACCTGACAGAGACACAGATTGCAAAACTGGGAGATGGGTGCAGGTTGCTTTCTTTTGATACTTTTTACTTACTAATAATAGTTTTCTGTACCACAAGGACCTCAATTGTTCCCCTCCAGAGCAGCCCAAATGCAGAAATACATCATTAGCTTTGGTGGTTCTGTTCCCCTGCTCTGATTAATTGTAACCTTTCCTCATACTTGATCCTAAATGAGAGAGTATGAATTGAGAAGCACAGATTAAATTAGTGTGTCAAGGCAGCCTGCAGAGCCAGCGCTCCAGACAAATGTGAGCTGGGCTGAAACTCAATCTCCAGGAGAAAGCCAATGTCTGCAATGGACTGATGGCAGCACAAATCTCTGAAGAGATCCTCTGGATGGGAGAGGTGAAAATGATGATGGTTCTTTGGCTCACATCAGTGAGAGCTCCTGCTCCTTCCTGAG